CGCACTGCAATTATGCAGGAGCGATATGAAGCCGATCAAACATCTCGTCGAAACTATCCAATACCGCTGGGTTGTTTGAGCACGCAGCATGTTGTTTCCCCGATACAGGTGAACGTGTTCGACTATCTTCCCAAGATCTGAAGGCGACCGGGGTAACCGAAGCCACGACTCAGGTGTGTCTCCACCACTCTAAACAAGACTTCCCAAGACTTTTCCGACCCACCGAAGGCCCTTATAATCGGAGAATTATTAGCGTCGGCTTCAGATATTTCACCAGACCGTACTGCTGTTGTCCTCGCTTCGAAGTCCAGCGTGGGTCACGATGCGCCAGAGTACCCACTCCCTACTGCGCCCACGATTTGGCCAGATTTCGGAGTTCTAGCAACATCTATAGGCCACTCTTTATGCCCACGTGTACGTACGGGGGCTTTTACTGTTCAGCAGGGAGTTGGTATCGTATCTGCTAAGCTAGCGAATATCTCAAAACGCTCAGAGGTGCACCAAGGGTGTCGCCGCCATGTCCAAAGGCCCGCGCGTAAGCGCAGGCAGGATCACGTTGTTTAATACGGTTTTCATCAAACAAAATCGTGGGTAAGCTATGTCTGCATTGGATGCTGCTCCAAAGATCTATAGTAGGTACCTCATGACTCAACGAGTGGTTGGTACCATCGAAACGCATTGTCAGGATCATATCTCTGCTTGAGAAGCCGTAGCTTTTCCAACCTCCAGGGCTCGTAGCCGTACAGTGCTTCGGGCGGGTCCTTCAAGGTCGTCGTGCCATTACCATAGCTCACATACTGTTGCAAACGGCCGTATCCAGACGTCTCGACGAAGCGTTGCTTCCAGTAGTTGAGATGGTCCTCGAAAACCTTGCGGTCTTCCAGCCGCTTTGGTGTCGCATTCAGCATACTATATCCCGTAAGTCAGAACTTGCTTGGTACAGAACCAATGTGGTACACTCACAGAAAATGATTCGAACCACCGCGCCACGGAAAGGCTGTCGCATCGTCGGGGATCTCGCGAACACGCTGATCAGGCAGGCATTCAAACATGGCACTGAACCAGCCGCGGTCCTCCCACTCCTCACTCATAGCTTTGACACTCTCAAAGAACTCGCGTGTCGTCTTGAGGTCGAACTTGTCGACGCAGGCGGCCCCCATCATCTTATAGGGGCCTCTGAGCCAGACTTCGGGATTGCAAAAGAGCTTGTTTATCTCTTTGTAAGTGGTGAACGGCAGCTCTGGCCATGACACGGACTTCCGCCCGGTGATCAAGACTGGGCCCAGGGACTCGAAGCGCTGCACATAGGGGTCTGCACCCGCAGCTGGACCAGACCAGACTAGGTTGACGAGAATGATGTGCTGAGCCTTGTTAGCAGCGTGGATACCTCACTCGTTAAGCGACCTACTTTGCGACCGCTGCTCTGGCGCAACCATATGACGAAGATTGCCAAATCAGCGGGCATAGTTTCGTAGACGCTATTCAGCGTCTCGAATACCGCATCGCACTGATCCAATGTATACTCCAGATCCCAAGTATGGTGTATGCCTCCGTGCGGCTGCGGATAGACCTGAAACGTGACCTCGACTGCAATGCCAAAATTGTGGCCTGCGCCACGAATCGCCCAAAACAGGTCCGGATGCAAGTCTTTGGATGCAACCACTACGCTTCCATCGGCGAGCACGAGCTTGCAAGACACCATGTTGTCGTTTAGAAAGCCATATTTGCCTTGTAAACGGCCAAGGCCTGCACCAAACGCTACGCCAATAACACCAGTCGTAGGACACGACCCCACATCTACCAGCTTTGTAAGTACTTTCACTCTCAGCGAAGATGCTGTTACACTTACTGACTTCCATACCCAAATCATGCACGAAGCGCACGAACTCATCAGTGATCGCTCCACCACCGGCGGTAACATGCCGTTTCTCAGCGTCCCATCGCATGTGGTTGAGTGGGCGCATATTGATGCATATACCGTTCTTGAAATGCCTCATCGTGGTAGTGACTGCATGGTGGCCACCACGGGGTGTGAATGGAATACCCTTCTCCCGCGCATATTTGACGACCTCGACTACATCGTTCTCACAACCTGGCTCGACGATAGCGAGGTATGTTGGGCGCTCGTACTGAGTGAAGCGAAGGTTGCCCTTGTCGAAGCCCGTTTTGTCCATGTCGAACGGAAGATGGATTCGCGCTTCGCTGGAAAGCTTCTGTTGAAGCTCGGCACGGATTGTCTTTGCCGATGAGGCAAGCACGCTGTCGGAGCCATGTTGATTATCCATGTTTTTTGGTGATACAGATGTTACCGCGTTGACCGGCGATATCAAAGAGAGACGTCGAGACCGAAACGAGATGGTGTTTCGTACAACGAGATGCTTAGCTGCCCACAGACAACCAGCTCGTCATCACAGCCCATCTCTTGGACACATTGACAGGCCAGCAACCCAACGATACCGCGTGCTGGAGGCCACGCAGGAGGAACTGGCATCCTTCCATATCAACAGGGGTGTAGAAATGCTCTATCTTACACTGCATTGCCGGGTAGTAATCACGAGTCATTTTTCTCCGTCCCGTGGTCAAGCTTTCACCATTCACCCCAAACACGTGGCCCAGCTGCACATAATCGTTTGCGCACTGCTGGAAAACCCATGTTTCCCGCCAGTATCCACAATCGCATACGCACAGCCGACTATCTGCAAGCCATTTCGGAGAGAGGATCGGCCCGACAACCAAGGGCCGAATGAAAGTCCGGGTCACCTGAGCTCACCTTCGTATCTTCACCGCGGAAAACTTCAGTCTCTTTAAACACCAACTGTAGCAGAGCGTGCGTAATTGAGGGGATGCAATTGGCTACTTCTGGTCTGCACCATCGGTCGGCAGGTGCGACGTTTGGCGATAGTAGTGGAATTGGAAGTTTTTGCCAGATGCCGCATGGATCGAACACGTCGGGATAGATGCCTCCGGCATTGTGAGCATTCAATGGGGTGATGAGCTGGAGAAGACTGAGCTGTCCATCTCCCGGCTCTCGAACCGCTGGCTCTGAGTTTCGTCACAGTCTGGCAACTTCACAACATCATGGCTGCTGCTTTCATACCAGATAGCCTGTGGCAACAATTGCGCCAAGCACCACCACTGACATTGCGAAACATTACCGTCGGTATCTTCGTGCTCGTAAGTTCACGCAAGTCCCAACTTGGCTTCTGAATCATCTCACAAAGATTACCAGATCCTGCTTCACGTCTTCTCCAAGGTCGTATACAATCTCTACCTCAGCCCTCTAGCTGGCTATCCGGGGCCGAAGCTCTGGGCCATCTCTCGTCTACCATGGAATCGCGCAAACATGAAGGGTCGGATCAGCTGGAAGATCCGCGAGCTTCACGACAAATACGGTCCTGTTGTGCGCATCGCTCCTGATGAACTCTCTTACACGACTTCGGGAGCGTGGAAGAAGATATATGGACAGCGAAACCCTGAGTTCGTGAAGGCTCTTGACGGTAGAGGTATCGCGCCTGCGAGTATAGGTGGCCAACGTAGCTTGATGACTGAGCATCAAGATCGACACTTGAGGTTGAGAAGAGCTATCGATCCGGCTTTTAGTCAGAGAGCGCTGTAAGTCTATTCATCGAAATGCAGGCATGGTATGTCAATACTGATCCCATGCTAGGCGTGAACAAGAGAGTTACTTTCAAGACCACTCGGATAACCTTGTCCAAAAGCTGAAAGAACGAAGCAAAGACGGACCCGTCGACATGACTACATGGTACAACCTTGTCGCATTCGATATCGTATCCGACCTGGCTTTCGGTGAACCGTCAGGCTGCGTCAACAACCCCGAGCAACCATGGATCCAAGCTATCCTCGCTCGCGCAAAGGCTATCGTCTGGTTCCAGCTTGCCGTGCAGTACGGCTTCATGGGTCTGCTCAACTGGATGACACCTAAATACGTCACCGAGTCAAGGAAGAAGCACATCGCGATGACAGAAGCCAAGTTGAAGGCACGTGTCGAGGCCAAGAACCCTGGGAAGGATTTCATGTAAGCTCAATCGACTCATCACTCAGTTCAAACACTACTGACTCAGTGACTAATCAGGTCCTACATCCTCGAGAACGACGAGAAGCTCAACCACCTTGAACTGGTCATGCTCTCCTCCAACTTCATCGTAGCCGGCAGTGGTACATCGGCAGGCGGCATGTCCGGCCTGACATATCTTCTCCTGCGCAACCCAGATAAACTCGAGAAGCTCAAGCAAGAGATACGCGGCTTGTTCAAAAGCCGCGCAGACATGACCGTTCAAGCTGTGACAAGCTGCAAGTACCTGCGCGCTTGCCTCAACGAGGGCATGCGTCTCTACCCACCAACACCAGGCTCACTGCCACGCTTCGTTCCTGGAAAGGGCGAAATGATCGAGGGCAAATGGGTTCCGGGTGGTTATGCCGTTGCTGTCAATCAGTTGGCAGCCGGACACTCTGAGCGTAACTTTAAGAAGGCTCGTGAGTTCCATCCGGAACGCTGGCTAGATGACGCACCCGAAGAGTTCAAGGACGATGACCGTTCTGCCGTCCAGCCGTTTTCCTACGGTCAGAGGGCTTGTATCGGACGATCTATGGCTTATGCCGAGATGTCGCTTACGATGGCGAAATTGGTACGGTTCTTTGACTGGGAACTTCATGACCCTGGTAACGACTGGTGGAACAAGCAGGGCACTTACTTGGTGTGGGAGAAGCTGCCTTTGATGGTCCAGCTAACGCCTGTGTCTGATCTGAATGTATAACGGCAGCCGAAGATGAAGCCATGGAGCTGTTTCTGATGTATATGCCTTGCGTATGGCGATGTAGATAGCGAGGTATCGAAAATATAACCGTGATGCGATCATGATCGCACATGCACTGTAAACGCAACGACTCGCTCCCGGCCATTCCCACAAACAACGCCAAGCGGGCGAATTCCAGCTCAGAATCCAGAAAGTCGACTGGATACCCATCCCCTGCTTAGTGCTATGCACGTGGGTCAAAATTGGTGCGTCGGGATGAATAGCTCGGTAGCATACTTAAGCTGAGAGTGGCGCACTGCTAGGTCAACGCAGCTTCGAATGCAGAAGTAGCGACACACAACATGCAAACTCACCTCCTCATACTAGGAGCTGGCTTCCTACTCCTGATCCACATAGCCAACCTTTTCCTCATCAAGCCCCTCCGCAACTACTTCAAAAGCCGTCAACTAGGATGCGGTCCCGTCCTCATCGAGCCCTACCACCTCCCCTTCGGCATCGACACCATCCGCCGCAGTCTCCTCGCCGACCGCGAGCAACGCACCCCCGACTTCGTCTTCTCGCGCTTCATGGCCATGAACCGGTACACATGGGCCATATCCCTGCTCGGCACAACCAATCTGATCACGGCCGAGCCACGCAACATCCAAGCCCTACTCGCCACGCAATTCGACGACTTCATCATGGGTACAGCACGACGCACGAATTTGAAACGGGCGCTGGGGCGCAGTATCTTTGCTGTTGATGGGGTGGCTTGGCATAGGGCGAGGGAGACTATGCGGCCGCTTTTTAGTAGGGAGAACGTGAGTCGGTTGGAGGTGTTGGAGGGGCATGTGGGGAGTTTGTTACGGGTTATTGAGGGGAAAGAAGGGGGGTTGAGGGTTGATGAGGAAGGAAGGGCGTGGTCGGCGCCGGTCAGTTTGGCGGCCTTGTTACCGAAGCTGACGATGGACTCGGCGACGGAGTTCTTTTTGGGGATGAGTACGGGGTCGCTCGATAAGTTGCTTGAGGAGCAGCGACAGGAGAAGGAAGGCGACGAGAATCATGAAGAAGGCAGCTTCGACCACGCATTCGAGCGTATGTTGACCATCCTCGGAATTAGAATGCGTCTTCGCAGCTTCTACTGGCTCTACGGCAACACCGAACTAAACAAATGCATCAACACCCTCCACACCTTCGTCGACCGCGCCATCGACGCCGCGGACCTGGCGAGAAAACAAGGTTCCTCGTCCCTCCGCTACGACTTCCTCGAAACACTGCGATCGCGCTGTGCCGACCGCGCTGAAGTCCGCGAGCAAGTTCTCGGTCTGCTAGCCGCAGGTCGAGATACGACAGCATCACTCACATCATGGGTTTTCTACTGCTTAGTGCGGAACCCACGGGTATACAACAAGCTACGTGAAGTAGTTCTCGCAGAGTTTGGATCTTACTCGAATACCACGCCTGGACAAAGCATCACGTTCGAGAAGCTGAAAAGCTGTTCTTATCTACAACATGTTCTGAACGAAACACTACGGTTACATTCAGTAGTACCGTTCAACTCCCGCTGCGCCATCCGCGACACCACCCTCCCCACTGGCGGTGGCCCTTCGGGCACCCTCCCCATCTTCGTCCCCGCCGGGACAGAAGTAAACTTCAGCACGCACGTCCTGCAACGCCGGAAAGACCTCTGGGGCGAAGACGCCGATGAATTCGTACCCGAACGTTGGGAGAAGAGGAGACCGGGATCAACGTGGCAGTACGTCCCGTTCAATGGGGGGCCGCGCATTTGTATTGGGCAGCAATTTGCTCTTACGGAGGCGGGGTATGTGATTGTGAGAATGATGCAGAGGTATGATGTTATTGAAGGACTGGACGTGGATTTGGAGAGGGATTGGCATAATTTTACCGTGGTGTGCAGTCCGGGGAGTCCTTTGGAGAGGGAGAAGGCGGTTTTGTGTAGATTGAGGGTTGCTGTTGAGTAGATACTGGTGCATTGTTCTAGTTAGCTGACTCGACTGTGGCTCAATTCTTGGATGGTGGTGGCAGTGTGAGTGTAGTCACGTGTCATCCATCCTAAATCTTGAAACCAACCGCTCATGACAGAATGTACGCTGAGCCCTCGCTCTTTCCTCTTCCATCACCACTGACCTCGTAACGATGCCATGCAAGTCCCGAGTCAGTACAGCAACCAACGGCGACTAGGCCTCACTAACGAGGCCGGACCGAATGCGGGATCGAAGTCCTAGTATCGCCGAGACCAGGAGCCGCGTGGGGTCACAATATCGAGAACAACGAGTGGAGTCACATTCGAGATCAGACGCTCACAGTAAGTCGATCAGCCACGTGGATATACGTTTACTCCCATTGGCTCGTCGACTGCTACATCTGCGACGATGGCAACGATACCAGAACTACCCTGCGAACGAAAGAGAATCAGCAATCGAGGTGGAAGTGATTGGTTCGCATTACTTACGAGGAAGAAGATATCTGTCTATGCCACTACTACGAACCTGTGGCTATGAAGCTCGTCTTTTGAGTACTGGGCAGAAGAACCAGAACGAGCGAACACCGAGCTGAACGTCGAGATGTTGTCCATGATAGTTCTCTTCATCTTCACCAGTGTACGTCAACACCTCCTACACCATCAGGAACCTCCAACATCCTAACCGCGCACAGCCAATACTCTACTTGCTCCTCCGCTCCGTTTACTACCTCTTTTTCCACCCCCTCTCACGCTTCCCAGGCCCCAAACTCTGGGCCATCTCCCGCCTGCCCTGGCACTATGTCAACCTCCGCGGCGACCTCGCATGGCGCATCCGCGACATGCACATCTACTACAGCAGCCCCGTAATACGCATCGCACCCGACGAGCTATCCTACACCAGCAGCACGGCCTTGAAGAAGATCGACGGCTCACCTCCACCTCGCGAGTTTCTCAAGTGTCTGGACGGGCGTGGAATCGCTCCTGCGATCGTGAATGGACGTCGTAGTATCGTTACCGAGACACCTGAGCGCCATGCCGTGCTACGGCGGGCGCTTCAGCCAGCGTTCAGTGAGCGCGCATTGCGGGATCAAGAAGATTTCTTTCGGGATCACACTGATCGGCTTGTTTCTCAGTTACGGAAACCACAGTATCATGCTGTAGAGCAGAATATCCTCCGCTGGTTCAGCCTATTGAGTTTCGACATCATGAGCGACCTGGCCTTCGGACAACCCGCGGGCTGTCTCGACCGCGCCGATGAGCCCTGGCTTGACGTTATCGGATCGCGCGTCAAAAGCATTGTTTGGTATCAACTCGCTACGTACTACCATATCGAGTGGATACTCAAATGGACGGCACCCAAAGCGGCCATGGAGGCGCGGAAGCGGCATCAAACACTCACCCTCCAAAAGGTACAGCGACGGATTGATGAGGAGCGTGCTGGCACCCGAAAAGGGAAGAGACGGGATTTCATGAGCTACATCCTTGGTAACGAGAGTGAGAATTTGAGTAACATGGATCTTTTTGGTATGGCGAGCGCGTTGATTGTGGCGGGCAGTAACACGACTACGTATACGATGAGCGCATTTGTCTTCTTCGTTTGTGGGCATTCGGACGCCTATAAGAAGGTTATTGCCGAGGTGCGGGGTAGGTTTGCGAGCGAAGAGGAGATTACCATGGTTGCTGCTGGTGAGCTGGTTTACTTGAAGGCCTGCATCGAGGAGTCGATGCGTATATCGCCGCCTACGCCATCAGCTTTGCCGCGCTGGGTTCCAGAGGGTGGAGAGGAGATAGATGGAAAATGGGTACCGGGAGGTGTAAGTATTTGTTCGCGTCTCGGCCGTGGCGAGTTTGTACTGACTAGTCGACCAACAGACAGCTGTAGGCATGCACAATCTCGCAGCCTGTCACGCTCCATGGAACTGGCACCGGCCTCTTGACTTTATCCCAGAGAGGTGGCTGCAGACGAAAGATGGGGAGTTTGCTCGTGATGACCGAGGTGCATCTCGTCCTTTCTCCTATGGTAGACATGATTGCATTGGACAAACGTAAGATCTCTCTTTCCCTTTTCGGTATCGGTGGAACGATCGCTGACTTCATGGTTTTCCAGTATGGCTATGAATGAGATGAGACTGGCTTTGGCTAAGCTCTTCTGGAACTTTGACATCTCGCTCAGCCCAAACAGTGAGAAGTGGTGGATCACACAAAAGTCGTATTTGGTCTGGGAGAAGAAGCCGCTCATGGTCTCCATCAGGCCGAGGCGGTAGTCAGAACTTGATTGAGCATCTGTTGTATCAGCACGTAAATCTACAAGGCTATGCATACCGGCAGCGTCAGAACAGTGTACAGAACGCTTGCGTAGGCCTCATGACGGGCAAGTACGCCCTATACGGTGAATACGGTGAACACGGTGAACACGAGTGATGATGTGTGTGCGTGTATCAGACCCGGACATCGTTGATTTACCTCATGTGATTCGACAGCAGAAAGCCTGTCTTTCCGATAATATTTTTACCAAGCCAGGATGTTGGTTGCGCGTATTCCGTTGTACTCTTGGAGTGTAGACCAATTATGCGCGATGCGTTTGCAGTGGCACTTTACTCGGCCCGTTACACTTCGGCCCGAGCGTGTTGAAATTAGGATGGGGTCTACCGGTAGATCGTATTGATAGCAGTGGGCGCTCTTCGGCGCTCACATTCGAGTTAGACAGCGGCAAGTAAGATGGCCACTCCTTTGACCACGTGGTAGGCGGTCCAATAAATGAGTATGGAATGTTTACCACGGTCCACGGTGAGCAGCAACTTGGGGTAGTCACCTCTCTGCCGAGCTTACAATGGTCGAGAAATATCACCTTCTGTCGTACTCCCGACCATCTTCTCTCGTCAGCCATTTGGCGTGATTGAAACCAGCTTTGGTCTGAGCCATGGCGACACCAACCTCCATTGGCGATCGCCCAAAGCGCGAGCTGAAGGTGCTATCATTGGGAATGACGCGTACTGGTGAGCTCCTCCAACGTTTGCTTTTGCTATCGTTACAGCCGTCGGGAGAAGCTGACTGAAGCGAGGGTAGGGTCGGCGTCCATTACTCAAGCTCTCGAGATTCTCGGATATCAAGGCGTGCACCACGGCATCCAGGCCATTAGTTCCCCAATTGAGTGGGAGTTCTTCAGCAAAGCATGCGACGCCTTCTACCCTTCGCTGCCGACCTACACAGGCGCGCCATTCACACGCGCCGATTGGGACGTTATCTTTGGGCCTTATGAGGCCGTCACCGACATGAGCTCGTTCTTCGCGACGCAGCTCATAGAAGCCTATCCCGAGGCGAAGCTAATCTTGGTGGAACGTGATATCGACGAGTGGTACGACAGTATGGAGGCGGCCATCTTCAGCACGACATGGGGGCTTCGCGCTGATCTCGTGATCAACGTACTGGGACCACTGTACGGTCTCAATGGCGGCAAGACGATTCGCAAGATCATGCTGGGCTTCTATGATGTGCGTAATGTGCATGAGATGCGGCGGGTTGCCAAGGATCGATATAGGAAACACTATGCAGAAATTCGTGCTGCGGTGCCTGCCGAGCGCTTGCTCGAGTTCCGCTTGGAGGATGGCTGGAAGCCGCTATGCGAGTTCCTCGAGAAAGAGGTACCAGAGGAGCCATTCCCTGTCAAGAACAAGAGAGACGAGCATGTGAAGCGGGTAAGGCAGAAGCAGGACATGTTTTTCAGACACGTTGCAACAAGGTTTGCCAAGAAGGCGATACCCTCCGCCTTGGGTGTCGGCGTTCTCGGTCTGGCTGTGTGGAAGAGCAGGTCTGGTGCGCGGTGGGCTGACATATTGAGCACTTTCAGGGAGACTTTGGCAAAGGCCTGGTGACGGGTTCCGATGGTTGTGTCGGCGAAGCGGCTGATCGGCAGAGTGGGACAGGGGAACGGTCGCGAAGGTTCTCTTGGGCAGACGTCAAGCTATCCGGGACGAAGCATCAAACCACATACGTGTAGTGTTTTTCGCACATCTTGCTTTCAAAGAGGCCAGTTTTACCTACAGGCAAATCCTTTCACATGTGCAAGTATGGTGACTGGTCGTGCACGGTGGGCAGGGTGCTTTGATCCGTCCTTCTGCTAGGCAGCTATGAAGATATGAAGCAGCGTGTTCACACTCGTGGCAAAAAGATTGAGGAAACGTTGCATATCGACCAAGGAGTCATCGAGGTGAATGGTGTTGGCGGTGCGGTGGAGCCAGTGTCTCGTGTAGATCTGTCTGCCTAGCGACTGGAAGACTACCGAAAGGACACCTGGAACTTGGGACAGACAACGAGGGCCGTGTCCGAGATTACCGACGCAGCGACTCAGACTGGCTGGGGTTCGCGCATGGAGGAAACGGCGATTTTGCAATTCAGATGCATTGATTCGCGACTTGGACGTTGAGATGGTAGAGCACCGAGGTTTGTAGATGTTCGCGTTCGCTTAGATGGAGGGGTAAATTGGCCTAGAGGCACGATAGCAGATAACGACGGAGCTGCGACTTCCCCATCATCGTCTGCACAAGAAGCTACTGTGGCCTATAGGTCTGCATAGCGCGGAGTCACACCTGCTACACGGGCGCAGTGAAAGCACAGTGCTAGCGAATTACACGTGTCCTGTAGCCAGCTGCGTCAAACGCAGGTGAAATTGAGGCTGATGCGGGCGGTTGGGGCAAAGTGAACGGGCCATGGGCGAGCTGCGCGCTAGGCCGTTTGCGGAGCAAGATCCTCGAGATCGCAAGGTGTTCTTTCGAAATACTTCCACGACGTGTCCATATAACAGTAGCCGCCCACCGCTACTTGCCCTCCCTCCTCCACTCACCTTGCAACTGCAACCACCGCACCTCGTCTTTTGTTTCTTTCTCAGCGATACCCGGAGAGCCCCGTCTACTCCACACATTGCGAGCTCCCAGAGAGTTACGCCCGCACTTGCACCTGGCATCTAGGCCATACCCCCAGTCTTGACGACTACACACACATCACAATGGCACGAAGCTCGCGGGGCGCCAACCAGCGCTCAACATGGTCCATTGCCTTCTACCTCCTCCTCGTCCTTGTCGGCGGTCTGATGCTGGCTAAGACAGCACACGCCCAGGACCAGGAGCCCATCAAGGAGGACGCCAATGGCGTCTCCGGCCCCGTCATCGGTATCGATCTGGGAACCACCTACTCCTGTGTCGGTATCATGAAGAACGGAAAGGTTGAGATCATCACCAACGACCAGGGTAAGTCTGCGTGCTCGACCATCCCACACACCCAAACTGACATGTGTCCTCTCCAGGTAACCGTATCACACCTTCTTGGGTAGCCTTCACCGATGACGAGCGTCTTGTCGGAGACGCCGCCAAGAACCAGTTCGCCTCCAACCCCGAACGCACCATCTTCGATATCGTACGTACACTCCCGCATACCGTTGTTGGAAGGCTGGCATACTGACTGTGGAGTAGAAACGTCTCATCGGTCTCAAGTACAAGGAGAAGTCTGTTCAGAATGACATCAAGCACTTCCCCTTCAAGGTCGTCAACAAGAGCGGTCAACCCAAGGTTTCCGTTGCGGTTCACGGCGAGGAGAAGACCTTCACCCCCGAGGAGGTCTCCGCTATGGTTCTGGGCAAGATGAAGGAGGTGGCCGAGAGCTATCTTGGCGAGCCTGTCAAGAACGCTGTCGTTACCGTTCCCGCCTACTTCAACGACGCTCAGCGTGCCGCCACCAAGGACGCCGGAACTATCGCTGGTCTTAATGTTCTCCGTGTTGTGAACGAGCCCACCGCTGCCGCTCTGGCTTACGGCCTCGACAAGGTAAGTTATCAGCATCCTCCGTTGAAGCAACTCAGCTAACGCACCACAGACCGACCAGAAGGAACGCCAGGTTCTCGTCTACGATCTCGGTGGTGGTACTTTCGATGTTTCCATCCTCACTATCGAATCCGGCGTTTTTGAGGTCCTGTCTACCGCTGGTGACACTCATCTCGGTGGTGAAGATTTTGACAACCGTGTCATCAACTACTTCACCAAGAAGTACAACAAGGAGAACGATGTCGACATCACCAAGGACTCCAAGACCATGTCCAAGTTGAAGCGCGAGGTTGAGAAGGCCAAGCGTACTCTCTCTTCCCAGAAGACCACCAAGATCGAGATTGAGTCTTTCTTCAAGGGCAAGGACTTCTCCGAGACCCTCACCCGCGCCAAGTTCGAGGAGCTCAACAACGACCTCTTCAAGAAGACCCTCAAGCCCGTTGAACAGGTTCTCAAGGACGCCAAGATGAAGAAGAGCGAAATCGACGACATTGTTCTCGTCGGAGGTTCCACTCGCATTCCCAAGGTCCAGGCCATGCTTGAGGAGTACTTCGGAAAGAAGGCCCGCAAGGATGTCAACCCCGATGAGGCTGTCGCTTACGGCGCTGCTGTTCAGGGTGGTATTCTCACCGGTGACGCCGCCACCGGCGACGTCGTTCTCATGGATGTCAACCCTCTTACCCTCGGTATTGAGACCACTGGCGGTGTCATGACCACCCTTATCAAGCGTGGTACTATCATCCCCACCAAGAAGAGCCAGATCTTCTCCACCGCCGCCGACAACCAGCCCGTAGTCTTGATCCAGGTATTCGAAGGAGAGCGAGCCATGACAAAGGACAAGTAAGTATCTACCGCGCCATTGCATGTCCACTACAAAGATCGATTTGCTAACCTATGTCTGCAGCAACCAACTTGGAAAGTTCGAGCTTACCAACATCCCTCCCGCGCCCCGTGGTGTTCCCCAGATTGAGGTCACTTTCGAGCTTGATGCCAACGGTATCCTCAAGGTCGGCGCTATCGACAAGGGCACTGGTAAGGGTGAATCCATTACCATCACCAACGACAAGGGCCGTCTCAGCAAGGAAGACATTGAGCGCATGGTCGAGGAGGCTGAGAAGTACGCCGAGGAAGACAAGGCCAACCGCGAGCGCATTGAGTCCCGCAACAAGCTCGAGAACTACGCCTACAGCCTCAAGAACCAGGTCAACGACGACGAGGGTCTTGGTGGCAAGATCGAGGAGGAGGACAAGGAGTCTCTCCTCGAGGCCGTCAAGGAGACCCAGGACTGGCTCGAGAGCAACGCCGCCGAGGCCGCCGCTGAGGACTTTGACGAGCAGTTCCAGAAGCTGTCCGACGTCGCCTACCCCATCACCTCCAAGCTCTACGGCGCTGGCGGCCCCGGTGGTGACGATGAGATGCCCGATGACCACGACGAGTTGTAGATGGTTGAC